TTCAACTGTGTTTGCAATGCTCGTGACAACGGGATAGAGCTGTGTAGGCACCATGCTTCTGTCAGAGATGACAGACAGCAAGAGGTTCCGCGTGGGTCTGTGGGACTTGAGAAAAAAGGCACTAAAATTATGGGATATGAATAGTAATATGGGGTGGAGAAAGTTGCATGGTGAGAGCTTGACCCCTAGCTCCCAGTCATCCCTGTGCAACTCGTTTCTGCCGCATGGTGCATTGCAAAAATATCCCAAAAGACAGTGCGGCACATGATAACGAATTGCACATGGGATACCTACCCATGGTGCACCAGCATGTACATTGACACAGGCACTCCTGGTGAGTACGTGCTGTGTTGATGCAAGGAGCCAAGTATGTACATGTTTGAGCAATATACTAACTGTGGCAGCTGTATCCTGACAATACTTGCATTGACCACAATTTGTAGTGTAGACCTGGACAGAGTCTCCCTTCCTGTAGATAGAACCTGCAGTCTTTGTTCTCAGGTGTACTACTTTGTATTTGGCTGTATTAAAATGCATTTTGTTGGATTGTGACCTCTTAACTAGGCAATTTGGATCACTCTGTAACAATAAACCTGTCCTCCTCGTTATTTGCTACCCTAACAATCTGTGTCATCTGCAAACTTTACCAGTAAAGATTTGATAACACTGTCTAATCATTGGTAAAAATATTAAATAGTATTGGCCCACGAGCCGATCCCTGGAGACCCTGCTAAAAACAGTTCTGGTCATTGATATCTCCAGATAGCAAGTACATTTTGAGATCTGTCAGTGACCCAGTTCTTAAATCCATTTGATACGTAATATGGGCCCTACTTTTTTTAAAATCAAAATGTGTCATGTGGTAACTAAATCAAGCCTTGGCAAAATCCAAGCATACTATATCCACACTGTTGCTTCTATCAACCAGACCTGTCACTCCCCTCTCCCCTATGTTTGTTTAATAAGACCTACCTTCCATGAAACCAAGCTGACTGGCATTAATTGTATTTTTAGCCTCCGCCCTCCAATTCTTTGTCGATAGCATCCCAAATTAACCATTCCATTCTTTTACCCAGGATTGACATTGGACTAATCAGCATATGATCACTCAGGGTTTTTTTAACACAGCTCAGCAATTTATCAAATGGGTGGCAACTAACTACGTTTAACGTAGGTTTTTTGGTTGTTTCTATCTGTCATGTAATAGAATGTTTGGGGGGGTTTTCGCCTGGAAATTGGTTTTTCCCTGATGTGACTTCGTAGGTGCATAATAGGCTTCAGTAAGATTTCTATTCCCACCCTGTTTTCTTGGCAGGATTCTAGTCGGTAACTATCACCTGCAAGCTCGATTTCCACACTTTTTGAGTCCAAATCAGCCTCTGGTGGAAACTGCAGGCCCTGTGGTGGGTGTGACAAGGAGTGATTTCCAGCCAAAATGAGGAAATCTGCAGCTGTGTGCCAGCCTGTGTGTGTGTGCTACTAATGAGAGTTGCTGTGATCTGTCTCTCCTGGGAGAATGTGAAAAGTGAGAGGACAGTGAGGCTTAGATGAAGCATGTGTGAGATGGCCTCTATTGGAAGACAGGATACTGGTCTAGATGGAACATTGGTCTGACCCAGTATGGCCATTCTTATGATACAAACTGAAACATTTTGTTGGTCAACCCTTCACAGTGTGGCTGTGCTGAAAATGAAAGGGCCACGCTGAAAAGAACAATCCTGTTCTTTAAACAAAGAGCCCCTTCCCTTCGACTGATTGCAAAATCACAGCCTAGATTCTAGCCATGGGTTTGAATGATTTCTTTCCAGAAATTTGCACAGGAAGATTAGCTTGTCTTAATGAATGGCAGAGTCAGGGTTGATTTAATGCAAGGAAAAACATTAATCTGAATCTGCTACTTATCAGACACCCCCAGTAGCCTTCACTAGATTAAGGTATTTGTCAAAATTTCCAACCCTGTCAACTGGCAGTGATGGAAAATGTTGCACCAAAGCCACATTTTCTATACTGCCTTGTACAGTCCTTGTCTGGCATCAGCGTTGATGAATGACATTCTCTCCCCAGCATTTCAGCTGGGAAAGGAAGCTGTGCAGATCTGTCTCTCATATTACTAGCAGTGGACATGTGGCAGCTGATAAGCTCTGAAGGAGTGCATCCACAAAGAAGAGAATGCGAGGTTACCCTTCCTGGAAATGACCTCCTCCTTATCTGGCGAAACCTTGTCTATTCTCTCCCACCGCTGCCATCTGTGATAAGGTCTTTTGGGAAAATGCCAAGCTTCCAAAACAGCTGGAACTAGTCACTTGTAGTGAACATCTCTTACAGACCAGACACTCACATTAGCTTTTCCAAATAAGAAAGCGAAAAAAGCTGAAATCTACCATGTTGCTGCCTAAATTTTGATGACCTAATAAGGGAGGGTGTAGATGTAGCATGGTGCTAGAAATCAGGAGACTATCCCTGGCTCGGCCACTGACCTTGCTGCATAACCTTGGGCAAATCACTGCGTCTCTCTGTTTCCCCATGTGTTAAATGAGGATAGCTTCCTAGGAGTGTTGTGAGGTTCAGATGATGTATAATGCTTATTAAGCAGTTAACTAAGGGTGTAGGAACATAGCTATTTTTACCCTTCTCCCTACTGTGCACACTAGAAACTTCACAAATTAATGTCTGTCTCTGGATCCCATCTCTCCTGGGAATCCTGCCTCAGAGGATTTCAGCAATTCTCTCAGGCAGATATACACACTTGGCAACTCATCTAAGAAAAGAAGCAATCTTTCTCACTACGTTACAGTTACCATTGTTACTGTCAACATATGCCAGACCTACTGGTGTATCTCTCTCCTAGCATTCAAGAATGAACCAATCCAAGCCTGGCTTGCCAGTTGTGAGTATTGAGCAATACCATATTGAAACAAGGCTTGCTGCACCCTTCGGTAAACTTTCTATCTTATCCTCTCTCCTCTAGCTGCCTATTGTACTGATTAGCAACCCAATTTCTAATGAGCCAAAACACTGAAAAACTGTCTGCACTAATTTTCCTCTCCCTCCCTCGTGGAGCAACCTTCATTTCAAAAGTATAGTCAGATCAGTGCTTAAAAATCTTATGGCTAGAACAGGTGCTCCTGAAACAAGATGATAGAAGAACATGTGTTACTGCAGTAGCTTTGGTTGATTATGAATGTAACAAGTGCTGGATTTCCCCCCAAAACAGAGTAAACCAGAGATGAATATGCCAGGCAGCTACAATGTACTCAACAAAAGAGAGCCATATTGATAAAGGGAAGGGGGATGTTCTAGTGGTTAAACAATGGACTGGGACTCAGGAGACTGGGACCTTTGTCCTGGCTCTGGTGTTGACTTTGACTTCGTGGGCAAGTCACCTGAGGCCTGACTTTGAAAAGTGCGGGGCTTTTTGTAACCCCAGTTGATGTCCGTGGGAACCGCAGGTGCTCTGCACACCTGAAAATCAGGGTCTGGACCAAATTCACTTCTGATATAGAAGTCCCATGAAACCAATAGAGTTACACCTGAGGTCAGTTTGGTCTCTGCTGCCTCAGTTTCCTCATGGTAAAATGGGGATATATTTAACACAGGTTGTTGTGATGCCAAATAATCAATGTTTGCCAAGCACTTTGAGATTCTTGGAAGGTGCTGGAGAAGAAATATTACAACTGAAGTAACGTAAAGTGTTGTACCTGGGAACCCATGTAATGGAGACTTAATTGTAATAATAATTCCTCTTAGCGGCTGCCAAGAATCCCAAAGTGTTTGAGGCAGGGGTTGGGTGGTAAAGCACAGGACTGGGTAGGAACCCTGCCAGGGCAGGGAACAGCAGAGTAATCTCTGAGGTATTTTAACTTCCTATAAATTGCCCAGCTACTGGGTTGGCCTGGTTACACTGCTCTCCGTAACTGCAGGCACACCTTGCTTGTGGGCGGTAGCTACATTGGACGAATTAATGTTGCCAAGTGACTGTTGTTGCCACAGTGATGGCTAAAATTTTTTTTTAAGAAAGTGGCAATCATAAGTCCTCCACTGTCCTTGGAGGCCAGATGAGTGAACTGTTCACAGCAGAGCACCTGGGGGAAATGGTTAGCTCAAACGTGGAAAAGTACAATATCAGCTCTTGGATACCATGCTGCTGGGTGCTGTAGAAGCCCTGAGATAGCCCAAAAGATCGACATTCCATAACCTTGTTACTGCATACAATGGCTGCCTCCCTTCAAGGTTTACTGGCTTGTCTCTGGAGCCCTGACTGAGTGGAGGGTTTGCGTGGTGCACATCTGGCTGAGTGGACAGTTACTGAGCGCTGGGTGTAGAGGAGAGTTCTGTGACCTTCTCAGTCATTCCTCCTTTCTTCCCATCCCAGACTCTGCCTTGGGAAGTTCAGAGACTGCTTGACACAAGATCTAGTCAGGCTGGGTTCACAGAGAGCTAGTGCTAAAATGCCCTGATCCTTCTGTTGCCAAAGGAGAGGTACAAAGAGCAAGTGTTCTTATATGTGAAGCAGTAGACAGTCCAGAAGGAGAGCCTGTCTCACCACAGGATGGGGAGCCAGACATGCCTAGATTCTAATCTGGGCTTTTACACACACGCTCTAGCTTTGGGCAAGTCATTTCACTTCTCTGGCGTCCCCAGCTGTAAGATAACAATGATACCACCTTGTTCCCTGGGGTGATGTGAGGACCCATTTAATTAGTGTGTTTTTAAGGGTCTGTGAACTTGAAAAGCCACAGAAGGGTTCAGTGTCTGGGTGTTGCTATTCCTGACTGTTCTTTGGGACTGTTTGCTGAAAACATGGGAAGCTAAATGTCCAGCGGTGTGTGAAACAGAATTGTCTGACTGAGTGGCTGTGCAAGATCCAGCTGGGTATTGGCTTTATTAGCATGTTTAGATGAGACTTTATCAAAGTAGGCCACAGATCCACTTGGGACTCCGCTGGCATCATTCTTCTGCAGCTGTTTACTTGTGTAAGATGATATTTCCCCCTCCTCCAGGGAGTCAGTCTGACCGCAGCAAAAGAGCGGGGACAGCTTGTGTTCTTGGAAGGCCTGAAATCCTGCTTTGACGTCTTGTTTGGTGAGGAGCAGCATGTGGGGCAGCCCAATCCCCTTCAGTTTATAAGGTAATGCTCTGGTGCTTTGGAAGAGGTACAGCCAGTAACTCTTGGGATTAGAAATGTTGCCACCTCTTGTGATGCTGAACTCTCAGTCTAGTTCCTGGTATGCCGCTGTCTGCATCACAAACTAGCACTAACTGGCCTCACCCTGCAGCAGTGAGGTGAAGGATTGGGACTGAACCCCCCCGCCAGGGCAGAGACAACAGTAGCTGGGCAGTGGGTGTGTTAAATTTGCCCTGCAGCTGTCCAGGCCGTACCTGGTGTGTGGCTAAATAGAATGAGTTAGTCTCATGGGCTGCCAGTCCAGCAATTCTCACTGGCATTAAATTCACACTTGCAAATGGAAATAAATCCAAACCCTGAAATACCCACACTGCTAAGATTATCCCTTCCCCCCTCTCTTCTGGCTGCTGAGAGAGGGACTGTGCTCCATCCCTCCCTCCACTGAGGACTAAGGGAGGGCATCCTCTCCTCTGTTCCTGCCTTCCTTGCACTCTCTAGTCTGTCAGTGAGCTGTAAAGGTGCATAGTGAATTACTGAGACTAACGAGCTAATTAGTGGGGAATCTTCCTACTATCTGAAGCTCAGCTGTATAAGCCACCAGGGCAGCTAAGGACAGAGCCTTGCAGTAGGGATCTGCTATTACAGTTTCTGATGTATAACTCCAAAGGTCGGTTTCTGTAGACACTTGACTACACACTGCATTTGTCCCATTATATTAATTTAGAAGCAGACAAAATTACGGCAGTGGGACCCCCGACTAGCGTGGGTACAGTTATAGCTAGGGCCCTACCAAATTCACAGTCCATTTTGGCCAATTTCAGGGTCAGAGGATTTTAAAAATCATAAATGTCATGATATTGGAATCTGAAATGTCATGGTGTTGTCACTGTAGAGTCCTGACCCAACTCTGAAGGCAGCAGTGCAGAAGTAAGGGTGGCATGGTAGGCTATTGCTGCCCTGCTACCTGTGGGGCGCTGCCTTCAGAGCTGGGCGCCGGGCCAGCAGGCACTGCACTCCGGCCACCCAGCTCTGAAGGCAGTGCAGAGGTACGGGTGGCAATACTGTGAACCCCCCCCAACCCTTGTTGGGTCGGGACCCCAGTTTGAGAAATGCTGGTCTCCCCGTGTGAAATCTGTATAGTATAGGGTAAAAGTACACAAAAGACCCGATTTCACAGGGGGAGACCAGATTTCACGGTCCATGACGCATTTTTCACAGCCTTGAATTTAGTAGGGCCCTAGTTATAGCTGTATAAAGGTGCATTTATCAGTGCAAAGCACATTTATGCAGGTATAACTGCATCCACATTAGATAGGCTGAACTGCTGTAACTGTGGCCGTGTCTACAGCGGAGCTGGAGATGTAACTTCCAGCACAGGTAGACCGACCCGCACTAGCTGTGACTGAGCGAGCACGCTAAAAGTAGTGGAGCGGAGGTTGCACTGGCAGCGGGATGGGCTATCCACCCCAAGTACAATCCCATCTGAAATTCTGGGCATGTACTCAGGGTGGCTAGCCCGTCTCACCACCCATTCAGCTGCAGCATCACTGGTGGTTTTTATTGTGGGTGTGTCTACCTGAGATGGAAATTCCAGCTCCACTGTTGACATATCCCATATCTGCTTCTAGACCAATATCCCCACCCTTAGAGGTTTTTAAGAACAGGATGGTCTAGCTTTACTTGGTCCTGCCTCAGTGCAGGGGCCTAGATTTGATGACCTCTGGAGGGTCCCTTCTAGCCCTACATTGCGGCGATTCTGTGCTATAGCTAATGCAGTACAAAAACCATGTTGAGACCAGGCCAAGTGAGAATCTCCTGTTCCTCTTTCCAGCGAAGATGGCTCCAACCTGAAAACCATGTATGAGTTTGTCCGGACATCCCTGATGGCCTCTGGTAGCGATTCCTGGAAATGCCCCGTGTTGCTGGTGGATGATCTCAGCGTCCTGCTCAGCCTGGGTGTGAGGCCGGTTGATGTTTTGGATTTCATCCATTACTGCAGAGTTGCAGTGTGTTCCCAGTTACAGGTACTGCTGCGTCTCTCCTTGTAGTGTTCTCAAAGTTCAGTGCCTTTATGGCCTGGCTCGCTAGGTGGTGCTCTTCCCTCTGAGTCAGTGCTGCTGAGCAGGGGTGACCAGGCACCGTGCTCTGTGGGGATGGGCAGAGTTCCTGACTTCTTGTGGCCATTAAAGATCCTGTGGTGCTCCCTGTGTGGGTGGGGCCTTCCCCTTTAGGATCCTGACCAGATTCTAACTCAAGTAGTTACTTGCTATCTACCCAAATTCCCTCCGCCGTTTCAATTCAGTCTAGACAAAGATATTTCAGAGTGCCTGTCTCCGTAGTATTTAAGTGCCAGGATGCAGCTATGTGATACAGTGTTCATATCCTGTCCTAAAGTGCGGTGTAGTGTTGCTGTGTGCTGTTAAACATTTGCCTTGTCCCACCCCAGAGGTGTTTGCATTTCAGTAGTCAGTCAGTAAAGTGATGAGTAACCCTTCTTCCTCCTAGGGATATTGAGGCGTAACAAATTAACAGCTGTAAAGTGCTTTGAGTTACTTGGATGGAAGGAGGAGAAGTTTCTATTCTCTTCATTTGGTAATCTGGCTCTTATGACAGGAGTGAGGTGTCCTGTGCTGAAGCTCCTTGGTGTTTTTTGACACAGCAGGACCCTCAAGTAAACGAAGCCCTGCTTTGTCACTGACCAGACAGTGGGAGGAGGGGGAAAAACTCCTATACATCTGATTTTTAAAGGGATAGTAGTCTTCTGATGGAAAGAATGGATTCACTAGGCGAAAGGGCCAGTTGAGAGCAGAATGTGAAAGAGGAAAACTTGAGGATTGAGGTTGGGGGAAAGAAAAACCCACACCCACTGCTTTTTAAACAAGTCAACTTTGTAATCACCGAACGGCACCGTTGCCCCCTGTGCCCACTAAGGAGAAGGGCTGGTTCTGTTACAGCTGGCTCAGCTTCCCTGGAGTAAACTGTTTCACTTTAATTGGGGAAAAAAATATGTACAGCTTGCAATCAGGAATTTAATAGTTTAAGAATGAAGTTATAACACCAAAGGCAGTTGGAGCATAGTCCAAATTTCTCTCCTTTTATATACACACCCAGTGTATCATCAAAGGAAAATGCAGAGTTTTAACAGTGTATTCCCAGGGACCAGAACATTCAGGATCTTTGATCACTGCTCCAGAGCCATTCTTTGGCTAGTCCTGAAAGCGTCTGTGCTGATCCCTTCAGATATAATTTCAACAACTGGTCTCTCACATGCTGTTAGCCAGCATGGAATTTTCTGTATCTACATTACTTTCAAACTGGGTATCAAGGGTATAAAGATTGATTCCCAGAGCTAGTGTTTCTTGAGCAAATAGCTCCTCAGTTCACTGCAAAATTCAAGTGGTGGGGGGAGAAAGCAAGATATTAATCAGAACAAGGAGATTTTAATGGTCTGATATTGAGTGACTTTTCAGAACAGACTTAATTTTTAGTTCTGGTTATTAGTGGGGTCTATTGGACTTCAGATCCACCACTGCTCCCTCAGTTTAGCAGGGCTTTTTAATTATTAGTGAACCTAGCAAGTGCCAGATCACGGACAATTGTCACTGTCAATTCCAGGATAACTCCCATTGATTGGGATGGGAATGGAACAACCACTTGCACAGTTCTGAAATGTTACCCCAAGTCATGCATGCTGTTTTTTGAGTGTGTGTGAATATAATCAACTTCAGAAGTTCTCCTTATTTGTGTACAAGTAACTCCTGAGAGTATTGCTGCTGAAAGAATCTTAAAATACCAAATCCACCTTTTACTGCCTATGCAGTGCTTTCCCCTTCTCCCCTGATTTCCTATAGCTTGGATCACAAAAATAGACTAGTCAGCATCACCTTTTTATTCTCTTGCTGGCTGCTAATGCTACAATGTTTGGGATGAAAATGGTGCCAGTGAATGTCTGCTTGTTTGGAATACTGTTTGCAAAGTAATTTAAAAATAAATAAATAATAGAAATATTTTTATTTCTGTACAAGGTAGTTTTTTTTCTTTTGGAAAACTTTAAATTTGGGCCAGAATTTGACTTGACTTTAAATATTCAGTGGGCTGAGACAAAGACTCTCATGATATATTTTTAATGGAACTAGTTTTGGATTTTATAAAACTTGTTTCTTTTCTTTCACCAAATCAAACATTGGACATAATCCCCCAGGCAATGCCCCCTTCAGCTAGTTCTCTATTAGATGGTTCTTTAAGGTATAGCTCACAGAGTAGATGTCTGCTTGGCCAGACAGATCAGTTTAACTAACATTGGCTGTTTTGTAACAAAGGTTTGACGTATTTTTAGACTGGAGAGTTATATATAAGCTTGGTTATTCTCCCACTTGGCTCTGATTGAGAACCCAGATTGACGCAGATACCATGAAGCTAAGCGGCGAAGTAGCTTAGTTCGCAATGTGTTCGTGTGAATCCACGTCTCTGATCTCCTCTCATAATCCAGAATTGATTGTCAATGAGTCATTAATTCCCGCGTGACACTTTCTGTTCCAGGGGAACATAGTGGTGCTAGTGCACAGCAGTGATGATTCAGAAGATGAGGAGAATGAACTGGTCGTGAATTCCCTCTGTCACCAGAGCAACTTGATCCTTTGGGCAGAGGGGCTGGCTACTGGCTTCTGTAAAGATGTTCATGGACAGGTAAATCTTGCGGAAGCATTTTCCCTGCTCCCGTTGCTGTCCTGAGACATGGTAACTTATTATATTCACCAATAATGCCTGGCTAGAGCCTCAGGTGCAGCCAGGGTATGTTTCATGCAGTTCAGGGGGTGAGGTGCAAATGGGATTTTAAGCCCCCTTTGTAGCTCCTGATGCAAGCACCAGTCTGACCCCAGCATAATTCAGAGCAACCTTAGGGCTAACTTATTCCCTGCTGCCCCCAGCAGTCAAGGATGCTAGAGCACTGTGGCATTGTAATTACATTCCCTTTTCTCAGCCGCACCTCCTGGGGGCTTCCAGTGGGGATGACAGAGAGACACTGCACCTGCTCTCGGTCACCTGGGGCTTCTCCCTATGTTGGGGGAATCAGTGTAGTGGTACAAAGCACTGCAGAGTGGCGTAAAGCAGCCAGAGCAGGGTTAGGATCTGGCCTGTGGACTTTGCAAATGGCAGAAGTATGAAGTGAAGTCCATGTTTTTGTGCATCTAGTGCTGATGAAAGGGGCTGGACAGACAGCCCTGGAGACTGAAGTTCTTTACATAGAACAGCTGCAACACAGGCTGCACTAGTGCAAGCTTGTGCCCTGACACTAAGGTGATGGGTGTGCTATAAATATGGAGAAGCTTCTCCAGACTCCCATTCAGTCAGTCTCATCCATGACCTGGCTGGATCCCCGCTGCGGGGGAGAGAGCACTTCAGTCTTGAGGGCCCATTTGCTGCCTCGCCTCTCTGCCAAGCCTGCCACCAAGAAGGAGGTTTAGTGCTTGTTAAGATGGCTGCACAGGGCTTTCCAAAACGGCAGTGTCGAATCCTCCAGCCAGGTCAGTTCTGGATGTTAAAGGTATTTTAACACAAATACCACATCACCTGCTCAGGCCTTTCCCTTGGAGGGAGGATGCTGTGATTGCAGCCACAAGGAAGCAGCTTCTCACTCTTTCCCTTTCCTTTGCAGTTAAAGATCATTCAGAAGGGGTCATCCGAGCTGAAAGCAGAGAGGAATCTCTTCCGAATCTACCAGTATAAAATTCAGGACAAGAATGTCACATTTTTTGCCAGGGGAATGTCAGTAGCTGTGTTGTGAATTCCAAGGCACAATTCAGTGCAGGACTTGAGGCCAAGGGGAAAGTGGTGCTTGATACCTGGAAAAAAACAGGAGATGCCAGCAATACAGCCTGGGTATTTTTTCAGCAGTTTCCAGGGCCAATCCAGTAAATGTGGTGTGAGCAGGATTTGCATTGGCACTAAGTAGCATTTAAAACCCAGTCCTGCAGGGAACTCTGTGCAGGTGGAGGGATCTGCCTGAGCTGAGCTTATTGCAGGTTCGGGGCCTGAATCAGTTCCCCTCCCTTTACTGTCCAGCAGCATTCCACTGTAGTATACAAAGGGTTCGAATTGCAAAGAAGAGCAAAATATAATGAATTTTAAATATAACTAACAAACAGGCAGCTGCCATCTCGATAGTCTGATACAGCTTATTATTGTTCATTTATTTGAAAAAAAAAGTAGGCCTAGTCCATCAAGATTGCAGTTCCGTTGTGCTAGGCACTATATAAATAGTGAGAGACACTACCTGCCCTGAAATGCTTAAAAACATAAGAGCGGCCATACTGGGTCAGACCAAAGATCCATCTAGGCCAGTATCCTGTCTTCTGATAGTGGCCAATGCCAGGTGCCCCAGAGGGAATGAACAGAACAGGTCATCATCAAGTGATCCATCCCCTGTTGTCTATTCCCAGCTTCTGGTAAACAGAGGCTAGGGACATCATCCCTGCCCAGCCTGGCTAAAAGCCATTAATGAACCTATCCTCCTTGAATGTATCTAGTTCTTTCTTGAACCCTGTTATAGTCTTAGCCTTCACAACATCCTCTGGCAAAGAGTTCCACAGATTAATTGTGCATTGTGCGAAGAAATACTTCCTTTTGTTTGGTTTAAGCCTGCTGCCTATTAATTTCATTTAGTGACCCCTAGTTCTTGTGTCATGAGGGGTAAATAACACTTCCCTATTTACTTTCTCCGTATCAGTCATGAGTTTATAGACCTCTGTCATATCTCCCCTCAGTTGTCTCTTTTCCAAGCTGAAAAGTCCCAATCTTATTAATCTCTCCTCACACAGAAGCCATTCCATACCCCTAATAATTTTTGTTGCCCTTTTTGAATCTTTTCAGATTTCTATATCTTTTTAGAGACGGGGAGACCACATCTGCACGCAGTATTCAAGATGTGAGCACACCATGGATTTATATAGAGGCAATATGATATTTTCTGTCTTATTATCTATCCTTTTCTTAATTAGTCCAATTAGACAAGACAGAAGGTAGGAGTGAAGGAATCAGTGCTAGCATTGGAAAGGCCTGGCAATCAAAGTTTAAAAATTCTATAACTTATTTTAAACTGGGTTAAGAGTTGGTTTAATCACTGAAACATACCAAATGAGACAGCAGCTACAGGTGATCTGCACAGGGAAAAAATAGCCCGGTGCTCCTCTTCTGACTGTGTGTCTGTAGAAGGCCTGACAGGGCTTTATTATGGTTTTTTTCTTCTTCTTTATTCTAGAAATACAGATCCCACTCTTTGTTTGTCTTGTCTATTTAGAGTGCAACCTCTGGAGGACATCTCTCTTGCTGTGTATTATGTACAGAGCCTAGCACAATGGATGTGCAGTCCCAGTTGACGCATGGAATACAATCCATTACTGACAATTGTGATATACTAGCAGCTTCTAATCTGTGTGTCTGAGAAAACCCTATTGAGAGATCATAATCAGAGTTTAATTTTAAAAAAAATTACATGCATTAAGTGACAAGTATCATTACTCAGCTGAACTTTTTCTGGAGACTTCCATCTTTGTGGCAATGGGAAGGAGCTTAAATAAGAAGCTTCAGGGTGAGAGGGAGAAATGTTGGCACTCTCATCAGGCTCTGGCCAAATTTCTTTAGATTACCTGGATGTTTCTGCTAAATGACCAGAAGTGAAAGAGTTAACTTTGTGGTAGTTTAAATCTTCTTCATTGGGCTTCAGAGTTACTATTGCACTGAGATGAAAGGAGGGAGGAGAGAAGGGTCACACTTCTGGCTAAATCTCTCAACTTCAGGCTTTCAGTGCTGTTGTGTCTGAGTCTTGTCTACGTGGCCTAGTTCACATTAATTAAGGTGCAAATTAGGTACCTTTTAGTTCTCACTGGCAGGATCTACGCAGAGCAGTTATAGTGCAATGCTTTAGCGTGTACTGGCAAAAAGAAAAGGAGTACTTGTGGCACCTTAGAGACTAACCAATTTATTTGAGCATGAGCTTTCCTGAGCCACAGCTCACTTCATCAGATGTGTACCGTGGAAACTGCAGCAGACTTTATATACACACAGAGAATATGAAACAATACCTCCTCCCACCCCACTGTCCTGCTGGTAATAGCTTATCTAAAGTGATCAACAGGTGGGCCATTTCCAGCACAAATCCAGGTTTTCTCACCCTCCACCCCCCCACACAAATTCACTCTCCTGCTGGTGCTAGCCCATCCAAAGTGACAACTCTTTACATAATCAAGTCGGGCTATTTCCTGCATAGATCCAGGTTTTCTCACTTCCCCCCCACCCCCATACACACACAAACTCACTCTCCTGCTGGTAATAGCTCATCTAAACTGACCACTCTCCAAGTTTAAATCCAAGTTAAACCAGAATATCTGGTGGGAGGGGGGGTAGGAAAAAACAAGAGGAAACAGGCTACCTTGCATAATGACTTAGCCACTCCCAGTCTCTATTTAAGCCTAAATTAATAGTATCCAATTTGCAAATGAATTCCAATTCAGCAGTTTCCCGCTGGAGTCTGGATTTGAAGTTTTTTTGTTTTAAGATAGCGACCTTCATGTCTGTGATTGCGTGACCAGAGAGATTGAAGTGTGTACTGCAGTTCAGGCCCCTGTAGACTGCATTGTGGGGCCCAGTGGCCAAGCCCTCTGCTGCCTTAGGTAGATCACTGCAATGGGTCACAATCGGAAGATTTTGTTTCCAGCCAGATGGGCCAGAATTGGAATTTTATTTTTAAATAAAATCTTGAAACCTGCAAAGATTGATGTGGTCACCAGAGAGGTACTGGTACAGCATGCCACAGTATACCATCTCATGGTGAGCCATGCACCAATGCAGTTCATAGCCAAAATCATATCACACCCAACATACGTAAATTATAGGGCTAGGATATGAGTTTAAAAACCGTCAAGCAGGCATGTAAAAAACCCAAAGCATGTCTTGTACCTGAGCAGGGGCGTAGGAATTCTTGTCTTGGTGTTAGATTTTAGCTGTGCAGAGTTTTCTTTAGGGCAGGTAAAAATGTTGTGCTCCGTGCCCAAGTGGGCCCATCAAGATATTGGGAATGTTCTCCATTGAATACTAAATTATGGTATTTTGCTGTTCAGTTTGACCTTTATCTCCAGCCTCCTTAATTGGCTGAGTTTGCGAGGCCCTGCACTCAGCTTGATGGCATTTCTAGGTTTTCTGTTTGGATGTAACACAATAACCTTTTGAACACTGTGTCCAATCAATTCCAAATGGTCAGGGAATGTTCTAAATCTCAATGGATAGGACTATGAACCCACAGAACAATGAGTTCCCATGTCCTTAAAGGAGCCATATCTCAGAATTTGTTTTTCACTGGAAATGTTCCCATTAACTGGAAGCCATAGTGCTTGCAGCCAGGCCTCCTCAGGCCTTGATTTTGAAAGGCTGGGCTAGGTCAGTATTTGGATGGGAAACCTCTAGGGAAATGCAGGTAGTGTTGATTCAGTAGGTGGCACTCTTCTGAATCAGCCCTAAACCAGTGTTGCAGCGAGGGTGGCCACTCCCACATCCCCAGAACATTGGACACTCCAGTACTTCTGGGAGCAGCATGAGCCTGCCCCCACTTGTGTGACCCCAGCTCCATCGGTGTGACCTCACACGCATGGTGCGTACGAGGTTGCTCTGGTGGGGATTGGGTGTCATGCTCTTCACAATGGTGTCCCCTGCCCATGATAGCAGACGAAAGCACATGCAGTTTTGCCTCAGTACTGGAGAGAGGGAAATCATTTAAAAAGTGGACAAATAGCCTGCCTAGTCGCAGCACTGGGGTCCTGTGTGCGCTGCTGGAAGTGTTGTCTTTCAAGTCCTGACCACATGTGGTGGTTAAAGATCCCATGTAACTTTTTGCAACAATAGGAGTATTAATTAACCCCAGTCTTGGCCACATGTTAACTTCGGTCAGGGTAATTGCATTCTGCCTCTCTACGTCCCCCCCCAGAATTTCAATTGGATAATGACATTTGAAGTATGTCTACAAAAATGACAAGTATTTAAAACAAGACACTATTTAAAGCACTTGTTAGCAGTGGCAAACCTGTAGCAATGTTATAAAAGATGCCACATCCCTGGATTAGGGGAACTCCCTGAGCGAAGGCATAAAATAATTTAAGCCACGGGAAACTGCAGGATATAGAGGTTAGTGCTGTGTGTAATGTGGAATATTTTAGCCTCAGCTGACGAGATGGGAAAAAATGTGCCTCAAAAGAGCATTGGAGAGGTACATGGTACCTTTTCGATTCCATCTTTCCCTCCAATTTGTCCTTCTTTGCTTCAATCTTCTTTCCTCTGCTTCTCTCTCCTCCACCAGTCCTTGGCCTTCTTTCTCTTCCCCGTGTCTAACACCATCCTTTCATTGTCTCTGTTCATTGTCTTGTGCAGGTAGGGCACAGGAATTCCTTTGTTTTCCATGTGTGGCTTATATAGGGCTTCTGCTGCTGCCTCTGCGAGATGTTCTTATGGGACCTGCATGACCTAAGTTATCTGATGTTGGCTGAACTCCAACCCTACTCTCACTCCAGTGGCACCAAATTTGTACAGAAAAGATTTCTTACTTTTAATAACAGGTTCAAAGACAGCTAAATTGCAAGAAGCTGGCACTATTTCCTGACAGATCATTGGGCAGCCGCACTTTGCAATGACCTCCTGCACAGAGGCCTGGGAGGTCACAGTGACATAGTTGCATTGTGCTACAGCAGACCTGAGCTATGAGCTGGTTCCTTGCAGGCACCATGTGCGAGTGTGACCTCCTGCAATGTTCTCATAATGCCTTATTAGTTCAGCTTGTCTCTCACAACTGTAACCTCATCTCCCAGAATGACCTCCACAGTGTGAGAGGAAAAGTCAGACCCTGCCTCCGTTAGATGAGTTCCAGTTAAGGCCCTACTCCTGCATACATTTAAAAACACAAGATCGGGGTCTGAGGGCTTGGCTACACTTGTGAGGTACAGCGCAATAAAGGAGCCCTGGGCTCACTAGCTCACTTCCCGTCCACACTGGCAAGGCACGTAGAGCGCTCTGACTCCGTGGCTACAGCCACCTCCATGAGTGGAATGTTTGCTGCGCCAGTGTGAACAAGGTGTTGCTTTACTGCACTCTGATCAGCCTCCGGAAACATAATCCCCTTAAGTGAAGTGGCCACTCTTGTCGTTCTGCAGGAATGTGGAAATGCCCTTTCAAAGCTCTGTTTAGGAGAAGCCGGCTGCTTATCAGCTCTGAGAAAAAGCCAACATTTACTGTTTGCTTTGAGTGAGAGGCCGGGGGGGGGGGTGGGAGGGTCTGAGTTTACAAGACAGCATGCTGACACACTCAGCACCCCAAAAACCCACTCACTCTCTCCTCCCCACATACATACAACACACTCCCTGTCACACTCCACCCCACCCCCCCATTTGAAAAGCACATTGCAGTCACTTGCATGCTGGGATAGCTGCCCATAATGCACTGTTCCCAACGCCGCTGCAAATGTGGCCATGCCAGTGCGCTGTCAGATGTCAGTGTGGACAGACTGCAGCGCTTTCCCTACTGCACTCTCCAAAGGCGGGTTTAAATCACAGCATCTACATCTGCAAGTGTAGCCATGCCCTGAGAGAGTCCCTTCGTTCCATCTTGCTGCCTTCCTTGCATGAAACTAGCTTCCCTCCATGGAGTAGCAGTAGGGGTCAGGGCCTACATCCCCTGAAGCTGGATGGGGCATTTCCTGGAGGTATCCTTGGGCCTACAGCCCCATAGCAAGTCATAGTGGGAAGTCTGTCTTTACACCCTTGAGGCTCTGGAAACTTTTTCTCTTTTTGTAATGGTAGTTTAAATTCTGCAGAAACTAACACGGACACTGTAGCATCACAAAGTACCACCCTTGCCTACACTATACCTTACCTGCCCATAGCTGACAATAACGGCAAATTGAAAACCCTCATATTTCTCTTGGTGCTGACCCGGGCCGCTCTCTGATTTCTCTGACAGCAGTGGGGGAACACTGAAATGTGTGTGTATGTATGTATATATATATATACATATATATAAAAATTAGGAAAGTAATATTCCCCTAAGTAATATATGTGACCTTATTATTTATCATTGCTGCTAGTGGGAATGGTTCTGTTCCTCCTAGATTGTATTTAGCCTCCCCTTTGTGCCCACACCCATGGCTGCAGCACTACTTGCAAAGACTGAGAGCCTGGAGGCCATCCTGTGACACTTAGAACAGCTTGAGGTTAGGCACTGACCTAGTCCCTGACAGTATATGGAGTATTACTATGTGTTGACCTAAGCCGGCCTGGCATGGATCTTTAGACTTCAACCAGCTGCTGCAGCATGGCATGATGAGCTGTCCTGACCTGGTCTCTGTACCTGTCATGATGTGGTACTGCACCACATCCTCACCTGATTTGTGACATCAGACTTGTACAGCACCATGTGGCAACGCAAGTAACTCAGCCCTGGTGCTGCGTGGCTTACCTTCCTGATCCTGCCAC